GCCAGCCACAGGAGCTGCAGCCAGGGCGCCATAGCAAGGACGAAGCCGGTGGTCCGGACGCACCGACCGACAGACCTGCGGACCAACCGACAGGGTGGAGCAGCCCGCGGCCGAAGGGCCTGCGTCCCTCTCCCAGCTCCGGGGAGGCGGGGCGCGGGCCAATGGGCGCGGGCCTGGGGCGCCTGCGCACTCGCTAATTTACGTGAGGCACGTGGAGTGTCCTGTGGTCTAGGGAGAGCATGGTCGCTGGCCTGAGAATAACGCTGACAACTAACATTTATTGTATGTTTATTATATAATTGTAGACCTCTTCCTTCAACCCCATGAGATGCTATTCCAGTCTTACAGCAGAGGAAATAGAGGTTTAGGGAGATTAAGTGGCTTGCTAAACATCTTGATAAGTGATAGGATTCGACTTGAACCCAGGCAGTTGGCTTCAAAGCCTAGATTCTTAGCTTGATCATCTCTTTGAGGTCTCATTTTTCATCAGCGAAATGGCAGGTAATATTTCCCCATGCTGGCGGTGCCTCAGTCCGTAGTGAAGATAAAAGCAGTTATGTAAGCATTTGGTAACCAGTAAAGCAACGTGCACAGGGTTGGGACTGGCCCATCTGTGTTCCCGGGGCCTACCAAGAGGAGGCATGCACAGATGGATTAGGGGTTGCACTGCGTTCTCCAAACTCACGGGCCTGCCAGCTGAGAGACAGATGAGTAAAGGACATTGTCTTGCAAGGTAATTCCCATCTGGGAGAGAGGAAATAGGGTACAGAGAGTTTAAGAGAATTGGAGAATTGGAACCACCTGCTGGTGTGGTGGTTTACAGTCCCTGGATTCCCACATGGCTGACTGCGGTTTGAGTCCCGAAACTGGCAGCTTGCTTTCTCTCTTTCTCTTTCTCTCTCTCTCTTTTTGAATTATTTTTATTTAACTTTATTTATTTAATTAACTAATTTATTTATTTCAACTTGACCAGAGAGGGACAGCGAGAGAGAGAAAGTGAGAAAGCAAGCCGCCAGGTCCAGAACTTGAACTGCAGTAGGCCATGTGGGAGTCCAGGGCCCTTAATCACCATGCCTTTCTCTCTTTTTGTCTCTGTTTGGACAAATTAAAAAAAAATAATAATAACAAGTGGAATTAAATAAAAAAATAATTCTTTAAAAAAAAGAATTGGCGAAATCACAAGAGGAGGGTGGGGAGTCTGGAAAGGAAAACTGATTTATTAAAGATATCTAGTCCTTGGGGCCAGCATGTTAAGGGTGCTGGGCTCCCACATGGCCGACAATGGCTCAAGTCCCAGACCTGGTGGTTTGCTTTTTCACCTTCCCTCTCTCTCACTCTCTCACTCTATCCCTCTGGTCGAAAGAAAGAAGAAAAAGAAAGGAAGGAATGAAAGAAAGTTAAGTAAAATAATGCTTTTTTAAAAAAAGAAAGAAAAGAAAAGAAATCTCTTTGTCAGATGTGTTCCTGGCCCACCCTGTCTGCCACTGACTGGGTTCAATTCTGCTACCTCTTACTGTTGGATTCTTAGCTGTGGCGAGCACTGCGTATGGAAGCTATCTCGAGCTATCCGCCATCTTGGAAACCATTAGGCTTCACTTCCTCACTGAGCAAATCCTTTCTTAAATCATGTGACCAACCGTTCTCCCGGAAGTGATTGGGTTTCTAGGCAATGGGAGAGATCCACCCACATCAATGATTGGTTAATGCTGTTCTATCTCATTTGCATTTCGGGCAGCCAATTGGTGCCCACCAGCTGTATATAACTCGCCATTTTTCCTGAATAAACGGAAGTAGACGGAAGACAACGGCTTGATCAGCACCTGGTAGTGTGTGTGCGTGTGTTTGTCCCATCTCTCACTCCCTCCCCCAAGGAACCTGTTCCACGGTCCCGCAGGCCGGGACACTTAGCCACCATGAGCTTCTTTTTAAGTTAATTTTTTTTAGAAAGCTTTTTGCTATAGGGCACATCTGCTCACTGGAGAGACAGAGAGAGATAGAAAGCAAGAAATCACCCCCCTGGTGGGGGGTGGCTACACCTCAATCCCTTCTCTTCCATTCTCCTCTTGGGATTGTGGGCATGCACTCACAGGCGCCCAGCTTGAGTTTAAGCCACTGGGTCCGGGACTCAAATTGTGGTCAACTACATGTGAGTCCAGCGACATAGCCATTAGGCCAACTGCTGGTCCCTATTTTTTAATGACTTATATTACTAAGGAGGCTGAGCTGCACTATTGCCTGTGGCATTTACCCTAAAGAGTATTGCTTGCATAGGCTGATTTCTGGTATTGCACATAAAGTGCCCTTTCTATGTTCCCTTTATAGAGATGACAATAATATATAATAAACTCTACAAAATCCTATAGTATAAACAGTTGTTTAACATCATTTTACCTACACCAACTAATATGCCAGATTTCCTTACCACCCACTCCTTTTGTTCCTAGAGTATGTTATAAAACTATTTCAGTGAACAACTAATTTGTAATTTACTAATCTGTAGTATTGCTCTATGATTTTTTTTTACTTTTTTATTCTTTTTAAAATTTGCTATAGGGTTACTGCACTCACTGGAGACAGAGTCAGAGAGAGAGGAAGAGTGAGAAAGCATCCTCAGGGGGATGGTCATGCCCCCATCCTTATGTGCCTGGTGTGTTTTTCAAGCTGCCAGGTCTGGGATTCAAACCGTGTAGTCAGCCACATGGGGTTGCCTTAACCACTGGGCAACTTGCTTTAACATATACCAGAGGTCTTTGTCTTTTTTTTTTTTTTTAATTAGTTTTTAGGTTTTTTTGCTATAGTGCACATGCATTTGCCAGAGAGATATGAGGGGGAGAAAGCAAGAAATCAGCCAGGAGAGGGTAGCCACACCACAACCTTTTCTCTTCCAGTCTCCTTTCAGGATTTTGGGGGTATACAGTGGGTCCTGGACACAAACTGCGAAGTTAGCTTTGTGGGATCCAACTGCCTTAACCACCATGCCGCCAGAGGTTTTTAAGGGAGACCTATCCCTAAAAATGTGTAGGGTCATTTTTGGTTTTCATATTGTTTGAGGCTCTTCTGATTTTCAGTGAATGGGTCCAGGGATGTCCATATTTGGGACAGTCCCAGGTAACAGAAAATTGCTCCATGACGTGCATGACTTTCTAATGTCCAGTTGGTTATTTACACAAGTGAGAAATCTGTTTATAATGATCTGAGCTGAGAATCCTGTTATATATAAATACATAATATTATGTGCACTGTTTTAGTATAAACTGAATTTTCTAGGAGTGCTACTGAAGTTTAAACCAAGGGAAGAATTTTCCTTGTACGAGTTCAGATCTTTATGAAGGGTTACTCACCATGTTAGCTCATAGGTTTGAAGGCAACAGACCTGTATCAGTCCAGTTCACAATGATCACTTCATTGTCTTCTAGTGTGATCCTTATTGAGCCTGTACATGTGGAAATGCAGACCTGTTTAACATAATTACTTTTGTTACTGAACTCAAATCAGGTTCGCTCGCCCAAGCGCTATAAAACCAAGCCATAGGCACATGGTGTGAAGGAAAGTACAACTGTATTGCAAAGCGCAAAGCAAGGAAAGCGGGCAGCTCATGCTGAAAAGACCTGGTCTCCCTGAGATGTTCCCCACATACGTTTTTTTTTTTTTTTGGAGAGATTTTTGCTATAGGGCACATGCGCTTGCCAGACAGACAGAGACAGAGAGACAGAAAGCAAGAAATTACCCCCCGGGGGGGTGGCCACGCTGCAATCCCTTCTCCTCCATTCTCCTCTCGGGATCTTGGGCACGCACGCACACGCGCCCAGCGTGAGTTTTAAGCCACCAGGTCCGGGACGCAAACCGCGGTCGACTATGTGGGAGTCCAGCGACATAGCCATTATGCTAACTGCTGGTCCCCCCCACATACATTTTTAAGAGCAAAAATTAGGGGCAGAGGTCCTAGGCGCATGATCAGTTCAGTGATTGGTTCAAGAGGGCGTGAACATCTCATGGGCGTTCTTGATTGATGAGGCCTTAGATAATCAAATTTCTCTTCAGGTGTCTGGAACCATTTGATTGGTGAGGCCTTAGATAATCAAATTTCTCTTCAGGTGTCTGGAACCATTCAGCCTGGAGTCTCTGAGCTCACAACCAGCAGTTTCCAGCCTATAAAACATCTTACATATTGAAATGAAAACCCTATCTTCCCTTTAAGTGAGAGTTTTAGAGGTCAAATGGCCCTCACTCATGGTCCATGTTGGTCATTATCATAACCAAAGTCTGAAGACTTACTCCTTACTCTGGGCCATTACAACGTAAATGGACTTTATATTTCAGGGACCCTAGAAGATACATTAGGGGGTCCTTGCTCGGTTTCATTTTCATTGTTTTTTTCTTTGGTTTTTAAAATTATGAGGATGGGAGCAAGCAGGTGGCATTGTGGTTAAGGTGCTGTACTTCCACATGACTGACCACGGTTCAAATCCTGGACCAAGCAGTTTGAAACATGCCAGGCACATGTGTATGTGTGCCCAAAATCTCAAGAGGAAAACGGAGGAGAAGGGATTACGGCATGGCTATCCCCCTTGAGGGGGTGATTTCACATTTTCTTTCTCTGTCCAGTGAGCACACATGCCCTATAGCAAAAATCTCTCAAAAAAAATTATGAGCATAGGTAGGACATTATCAATTTTTTTTCGTTCTTTCAACAGACACTGACTGTGCATACTACATTTTAGGCACAATCTGGATCTGGGTTTATAAACAGGGCATTGTCAAGTAACTGTTGTTAAAACAGTCTACTGGGGGACCAGCAGGTGGTGTGGAGGTTAAGGTGCTGGACACTCCCCCATGGCCAGCCACGGTTCAAGTCCTGGGCGTGGT